ATAAGGAATAGTAGCGAAGTGGTTTTAGGTCCAACAGTAACCGAAAGACCACAGAATAAGAAATTTTATGGAAATGACTCTGAGAAACTTTTTCTTTCCTCCATTAAAAATTACATTTATTTAAAAACTTACATACAGTTAAATTCATCCTTTTTGGTGTACAATTCAGGGGGTTTGACAAATGCATACACTCATGTAACTATAATCAAGATACAGAAAATTTCCATTATTAAAACAAATTCCTTGTGCTACCATCTTGTAACCAGTCTCCCATTTTTAACCCCTGACATCTACTGATTTGTTCTCTGATCCTAGAGTTTTGCCTTTTCCAGAATATCATATAAATGGAATCAAACAGTAAGTAGCCTCTTGAGCTTGGCTTCTTTTACTTAGCAAAATGCATTTGAGATTCATCCAACTTGTTGCATGTATCAGTTTATCATAGTTTTTATTGCTGAGTAGGATTCCATTGTATGGATATACCACAGTTTGTTTATCTATGCACCAGTTGAGGGACATTCTCCACTTTTATTTTCCTCTATTGTTAGTGGTCTGTAGGTCTAGTAAAGGGCAGAAGTGAGATTTTCCTCCCAACAGGGAGAAGTTCCTTCTGAAAACTCCAGATTAGAAGTATGTCCCTGGGTAACATGTGCACGAAGTTATACCAGGATAACTTACTTCTTGTCCTTAAACTATATTTAATCATCACACCTACAGTTCTCTGCTCTACCAACTGAGCTATTGAAGGACTCTCCCTTAAACTATATTTAAAATTGGAGAGTTAATCCTAAGTGAGCAGTATATCAAAGGAAGAAAGGTTTGTCCTGAGTATAGTTAGACGATATTCTCAGAGAAGGCCTGATAAGCATTCTGGAAGCCAAGTCATTGGCACAGTATTTAAAAAAAAAATCTTATTTAAAAAATACTGAAAAAAGTAAAAATCACCCCAAATTACACCACTTTAAAAATTTTATAAAGCAAAAGTCCCCTTTCAGCCTATCCAATCCCACCTCTAGAAGGTTTACAATTTGGTATGTATATTTCCTAGCTTTTTCCTAAATTTATTCAGAAATATCTATATAGACCATATATATAAGAATGCTTTTGTTTATAAAAATGTATTCACATTATACATATTTCTTCCTTTTTAACTTAATACAAAGTCCTGGACACCATACAGGTCAGAATGTATTCATAGTTATATCCTATTATCTTAATGGCTGTGTAGTATTACACTAAATGGATGTGCCGTAATTTATTTATTCATTCTCCTATTGACATTTGGACATTTGGGTTGTATCCAATTGCATTTTTTGTGACTTTATTGAGATATAATTCACATACCATACAACTCACCCATTTAAAGTGTACAATTCATGGTTTGTAGTATATTCACAGAGTTGTACAATCATCACAACAATTTTAGAACATTTTCATCAACCTCTGAAGAAACTTCATTTACTTCAGCTATCACCCCCAGCCTATGCAACCACTAATCCACTTTCTGTCTCTATATATTTGTCAATTCTGGACATTTCACATAAGTGGAATCATATAATGTATAGTCTTTTGTGACTGGCTTCTTTCATTTAGCATATTTTCAGGGTTCTTCCAGGTTGTAGCATACATCAGAAGTATTCCCTCCTCTTCTACTTTTTGGAAAAGTTGGTGAAGAATTTATATTAATTCTTCTTTAATGTTTGCTAGAATTCATTTGAGAAGCCATTCGAGCCTGGGCTTTTCTTTGTGGGTATTTTTTAAAATTACTAATTAACCTCTTGTGAAAGGTTTTTCAGATTTTTTGTTGTTGGTTTCAGTAGTTTTTGTATTTCTAAGAATTTGTCCATTTCATCTAAGTTATCTAATTTACTGGCATACAATTGTTCATAGTGTGCCTTCATAATCCTTTCTGTTTCTATAAGGTTGGCAGTAATGTTCCCTCCATTTCTGATTCTAGTAATTTAAGTCTTCTTCCTGGTCAATCTAGCAAAAGGCTTGTCACTTTTGTTGATCTTTTTATAGAACCAACTTTTTGGTTTTATCGACTTTATCTACTGCTTTTCTATTCTCTACGTCATTTATATATCTTATCTTTTTTATTTCCTTCCTTCTGCTTGCTCTAGGTTTAGTTTGCTCCTCTTTTTCCAGTGTCTTAAGGTGTAAAGTGGGTTATTGAATGTGATCTTTCTTCTTTTTAAATGTAGGCATTTGTACTTATAAATTTTTCTATAAGCACAGCTTTAGGTGTATCCCATAAGTTTTGGTATATTGTGTCTTCATTTGCATTCATCTCAAAAGATTTCCTAATTTTCCTTGTGATTTCTTCTTTGACCCATTGGTCATTTAAAAGTGTGTCTAATTCATATTTGTGAGTTTTCCAACTTTCTGTTATTGATTTCTAACTTCATCCCATCTGGTCAGAGAACATACTTTGCATGATTTCAGTCCATTTAAATTTATTGAGGTTTGTTTTATGATCTATCATATAGTCTATCCTGTAGATATTTCATGTACACTTGAGAAGAATATGTATTCTGCTCTTGTTGGGTGAAGTGTTCTCTAGACCTCTTTAAGGTTTAGTTAATTTATAGTGTTCAAGTCTTCTATTTATTTGTTTATCTTCTGTCTAGTTGTTCTATTATTGAAAATGGAGTACTGAATTCCCCAACTCTTATTGTAGACTCGTATATTTCTCCCTTCATTTAGTTCAGTTTTGGATTCATGTATTTAGGTGCTCTGTTGTGAGGTGTGTATATGTTTATAATTGTTATCTTTCTGATGGATTGCCTCTTATCATTATAAGATGTTGCTCTATCTCTAGTGCTATTTTTGGTTTTAAAGTCTACTTTGTCTGATATTAGTATAGCCACTCCATTTTTCTTATAGTTGCCATTTGGCTAATATTTTTTTCTATCCTTTTACCCTTCAATCTGTTTGTATCTTTGAATCTAAATTGTGACTCCAATAAATAGCATGGGGGTAAATCTTGTTTTTTTCCCCCAGTCTGACAATCTCTGCTTTTTGATTGTTTAATCCATTCATATTTATTGTTATTGTTAACCATTGTTAATACAGGTGGACTCACAACTGCTTTTTTACTGTTTATTTTCTATACGTCTCAAGTTTTGTTTTGGTTTCTTCATTCCTCCTTTTGCTTTCTTTTGCACTGAATATTTTCTAATATAACATTTAAATTTCTTTAATAATATTTTCACTATATTCAGTTATTTCTTTAGTGGTTGCTCTACCATACACATCTTAACTGAACTGGCTTCAGATATATACTAATTAAATTCCAATGAGATATAAAACACTTATTCCTATAAAAACCTATTCCTTTTCCCACTTTTTTGTGGTATTATTGTTATACATATTATTTCTACATTATAAACCCAAAAACACTGTTATAATTATTCCTTAATATAATTTTATGTCTTTAAAGAAGCTGAGAGAAGAAAAAAGAGCAAGTATACATTTATAGCTTTTTTATATTAATCTTATTTCCTATTTCTTGTTTTCTTCACTTATTCCTACGGATTTGAGTTACCATTTGGAGTCATTTCTTTAGTCCAATGCAGCTTTGCTTCCATCCACCTCCTTTGTCTTGTTATTGGAAAATATATTACAGTTTTATATGTTATAGGCCCAACAATACAACTATATACATATTGTTTCATAAAATTGCCTTTTAAATCAATTAACAGAAGAAAGGAAAAATGCATTTAAACTTTTATAATTACATAATTACCTTTACCCGTGCTATATTTTTATATGTATAGATTCATATTACTATCTGAGGTCACTTGCTTTCCACCTGAAGACCTTCCTTTAATATTTCCTGTAGTTAGGCCTGCCAGCAACAAATTATCCCAGTTTTTGAATACGTGGGATGTCTTTATTTCATCTTCATTTTTGAAAAACAGTTTTATTGGATATAGGATTCTTTATTGGCAGTGTTTTTCTTTCAGAACTTTGAATATATTATCCCACTGCCACCTCCATTGTTTCTGATAAAAAGTCAGCTGTTAATCTTATTGGGGTTTCCTTGTAAGTTACAGTTCATTTTTCTCATGTTGCTTTCAAGAGTTTCTCTTTGTCTTTGGGTTTTAGCATTTTTATTATGATGTGTCTATGGATTTCTTCTTGCTTATCCTACTTGGGGTTCGTTGAGATTTGTAGATGTGTAGGTAATGTTTCTCATCAAATTTGGGATGTTTACAGCCATTATTAATTGAAATATTTTTTCTGCTTCTTTCTCTTTTTCTGGTACTCCCTTTACAAGTATTTTGGAGTGCTTAATGATCCTATACGCTGTTCAATTTTCTTCATTCTTTTCTCTTTCTGTTCTTCAGCCTGGATAATACCATCTCATTTAATCCTCACAACCCAATGAGGTAAGTAGTATTATTATCCTCATTTTATAGATGAGAAAACTGAGGCTCAGATTAAATGACTTGCCAAGGTCATGGAGTGGTAAGTGTGGCTATGAAGTTCAAACACAGGTCTGACTCCAAAGTTTGTACTACTTCCTCTGTACCATATCATCTTCTATTCTCCAGCGACTATAAACAAACAACTGTGGGATTTGGGACTGGCTGCCTCTCTTCTAGAGAACTTTCTTCCCACCCTCCTTTAGTATTCTTTGCTAGTACGCTCCTCTTCTAAAATTCATATACCTAACACCTAACATATCTTAAACACTTATTCAATGTTTATTGCTTTGAATGCAATGATTACTCAATGGTAGCTAGCTTAAATGACCATGAGAACATCAGTATTTTGATCTAAATGCTTTCAGTAGAAAAATATATAGCTTTCTGAAGACACTGATAACTTAACAGGGAAGCATTCATTAAATATGTGGACTGACTTCTGAAAATACCTACTGCTACTGTTGATAGTTCTCATTTAACAGCGTTTGTTGATGTTAGGCCTGGGGTCCTGTTCATTTATTTACTAGGTGATAAAATTAGGGACAAATGGGTTCTAGAAAATGAATGTTTCAACATTTAATTAGTTTTTTAGTTCTGTATATAGGAGGCAGTCTTGGAAAGAATGTTATCTCTAGGGACAAATATTTAAGATCATGTATAAATTATAAAGATTAAAAAAAAATCCTTGGAAATAATCCTTTGTAATTTATCCTGAGAAAATGATACTCTCTGTACCCTACCCTTCATACTCAGCATACTCTCTGTTCTATATAATCTTTGATTATAGAAAATGTTTTCTACCTATTCTTTCTAAAAGCTGAATGGGATTATCTTAATTAGATTTTTCTCTCCCTTAGTTAGTTTCTCTTCTTCAATTCGAAACAAGTTGCAATCTATACACAAATCCTAGATCCAAAAAGACCACCCAAGACTCACAATCTATGTATCTTCTAGCTACCACTGATTTCTGTACTTTTATCTGTAGCGGATGATATGAGAGAAGCAGCCTGGAGATTTGACTGTTGCTTTTTGTTCTTTCCAAATTCTATCACCAATATTTTCCCACGTAGTTTATATCCATTTACTAGATGCAATGCTTGCCATGCTATCTCCTTATCTAAAAGAGAAAGATAAAACATCAATTTACATAGGGCTTAATAATTCAATTATATTCCAAGTCTAGTTTATGTTATTTTGCCTTGGAGTTAAGTGTAAGTTATAGGGCTACATAGTTATTTGATTTTATTATCTTTTCTATAATCTTGAATTTATATAACTCAGCAAGATTAAACTAATGGCTAATAATAATGACAATAAAAACTTTAAATGGACATTTGAGAGTGTCTCCTAATTCAAAGATATAGGTAAAGAAACAAGGATATAAACAGTGTGCTAAAGAAGGCTAAACTATAACTAATAATACACAAGCCTCTATCTTAGATAACAGATTATAGGTATTGTAAGAATGGAATCATTTGCAAAATGGGCAACACAAATAAAAGAAGTTACCATGGTGTTAAAGACATTTTGTTACTTTTTTCTTTTGATGGGAGAGTGACTGTGGGAGCACTCATTGGGATAAATAAGTTTAATTCTTGTAGGCACATAGAAGCTTGAGGTGTGAGAGTACATAGCGTACAACAGGAGTATTGAACTTATGGGTCCCAAAGCCTGGATGTGGGAAATTAGGAAGGAGTGGAATTATTGCCCAGAATCTGTGAATTATAAGCAGACAAGCAATGTCTCTAGACTGAACCAATTTATGACTCACTTATATATATACTACAAATTTTCAAATGTAGACAGCTGCTGTTAAGATTAGTAAAACAATTATCCATTTAAAAGTACTTAGTTTATAAAGCCTTTTTATTACATATGTTTTAATTAATGGAGCATAATAGGTGGAGGTCCATGAAATATTCTTTAAGTTTAAAATGGGTTCTACACTTGAAAAGACTGAAAACTACTAGTGTAGATGATCCACAAACCTTCAATAAGATAGGAAAGATGGTACAAGACTGTATGAAAAGAGTGGAAGGGAGTTTGGCACTGCTCATGTGTAAAAGCACTTGCTTATCCATAGACTACTAGGCTGTTTATAAATGATGATAGTTTAGGGATAATTAAAGGTACAGCTCCTACCCAGCATCCACCAAAACAGAAGGATAGTCTGGTCTATCATAGAAACTAAAATCCCTACATTATTTGTCCCTTTGGATTAGGACACTGAAGTCTTGTATTAAGATGCAAACAATAGTTAAAAAAATATATCATCATCCACTAGTTAATTATGAATTACTAGTGAATTAGCATATTAGCTTGGAGTCTCTTAGTCCTAAAGGGGTAGGGCATAAGGCAAGTGTTCTAATCAGAATACCAATATATTACTAAATAATATAATTATAACTCGCACTAGAAATACTATTGTCAGCAAAGGGAAAGTAAATTTTGATAGAGTGAGAAGGAAGTGCCATGACTGGGGAAAACTGAAGACAATGGGGTAAGGTAGTCATGCACTATCAATGGAGGAGAGGAAGGGCAGAAGGGATAGAGGAATATTGAAAACATAGTTTCCTTACTTCTCTTCCCTTCTTTCCATGTGCTATAGAGAAATAAAAGGACTATATCTAAAGTAGAGAGGGTATAATTAGTTTCTAATGAACTAATGTTGCAACTGAGTAATTATCTAGGAGAAGCTACTTACTGGGGAAGGTGATAAAAGCTTGCCCCCTCATTCGTCCAGTCATCATTTGGAATTGAATTGGCGGTCCTTTTTTCTCCTGGAACCGAGCGAACAATGAGACAAGATCTCTTTCAGTCACTCGAGGGCTAAGGTTCTTCAGGTATAACACCTAATGTAAACCGAGGATCAACAGAAATATCATATGAGAGAGGTAAGGCAACTATTTCATTGTGGTTAGAATTAGTTGGTTTCAGATAAAGATGGTGGATTGAACACACATATGCATCTAATTCACTCCCTCCAGAAAACTCTCTAAAACTATAGGGACTTTTTCTAAAAAAAATACAAACCCACGAGGTCAGGAAGAACAAGGAAAGGAGGCAATAGCAACATTATTCTGGAAGCTGGAAAATAATTGGATGAGTGTATTGAAGAAAGCTGAACCTTAAACCAGCAGTGGAGAAAGCCAGGAACCGACCCAATCTAAACCCAAGAATCCTCAACCAGTTCAAGAACTGATAGCTTCAGGTACCTCTGGAAATGGATGCAAAGGGACGGGGTTAAGATAAGGTGGGTAGGTTGAAAGCTGTTTAAACACTAACTAGATCTTTAAATATCCTCCCCTATAATATGCTACTGGGTAAAGGCCACTCTCAATCCAGGTGAATACTGGAGGTTCATTCTCTGAATATGGGGAATGCCAGACACAGTTGAGAGTGTGAATTCTGCTTCTGAAAGCAAGGAGATTAAGAGAAATAATGCATACTGAATGCTGAGAAATGGCCAGACATCTTCCCCCATTTGGCTACTACAATGCTGATAGTATCCTCCCAAGCAAGAGTTTGAAAGAGTCTCCTCTGAGGAATCTAATTATCCCCAAGAGGAAAGATCTAAAAAGACTGATTTGAGATGGGGAATTTCTCCAACAAATGGACCAGCCAGATGACTTTAAAGTGAAGCTCAAAGTCAACAAGGATCACTCATGTGCTCAGAGCTTCCAATTTTTTTTTGGCCCATACTCATAAATATGAGCATGATTATCAGGGATCTGAGGAAAGCCTCTAATGTGAAAGACAGAGAACAGAACAAACAGAAGTGAAAGCAAATGGGAAAAAACAGAAACCATGAAAAGAGAAAAAAAAAATCTTTACAAAACTATCACTAATATTCCCTCAGAAAAACAAGAGACAATATTCTATCTATTAGGAAAGGGATGCTATAAAAAAAGAACATTTAAGCAAACAAACAAGAGCTCTTAAATGTGATTAAACTTAAGCTGTTATTGGCTTAAAATAGATTTTTATAACTATAAGATGTTTTAAGTAAGCCCCATTGTAACCATAAAGAAAATATCTATTGAAGATACACAAAAGAAAATGAGAAAGGGAAAAGCATGTCACTACAAAAAAATCAATGAAACACAAAGAAAGCATCAAGAGAGGAAGAGAGGGGCAAAAGAGCTACAAAACAGAAAAATAACAATGAACGGCAATAGTAAGTACTTCCCTGTCAATAATTAATTTACATGTAAATGTATTAAACTCCCTAATCAAAGACATAGAGTGGCTGAATGAATAAAAAACAAGATCCAACTATATGTGGTCTACAAGAAACTGACTTTAGATTTAAGGCCACACATAGGCTGAAAATGAAAGAATAGAAAAAAGTATTTTATGCAAATGGTAACCAAAAGAGAGCAGGGGTAGCCATGCTTATATCAGACAAAAATAGACTTTGTCAAAATCTGTCTCAAGATGCAAAAAAGAACATTATATAATGATAAAGAGGTCAATTCACCAGGAAGACATAACAACCATAAATATATATGCACCCAACATCATAGTACCTAAATATATGCAGCAAACATTGAGACAACTGAAGGGAGAAATAGACAGCAACACAATAACACTAAGAGAATTCAATACCTCACTAACAACAGCAGAGTGAAAACTAAAAAATTCACAAATATGTGGAAATTAAACAACATACTCTTGAACAACTAATGGATCAAAGAACAAATCAAAAGGGAAATTAGAAAATATCTTGAGACAAATGAAAATGAAACCACAAAATACCAAAATTTATGGGATATAGCAAGGGCAGTACTAAGAGGGAAGTTTACGGTGATAAATGCCAACATTAAAAAAGAAAGATTTCAAATAAATAACTATACACTTCAAGAAACTAGAAAAAGACAAACAAACTAAACCCAAAGTTAGCACAAGTTAAGAAATAATAAAGATTAGAGCAGAAATAAACAAAATAGAGAGTAGAAAAACAATAGAAAAATTTCAACTAAACCAAGAGCTGATTTTTTTAAAAGATCAACAAAATTGACTACCTTTAGCTAGACTAAGAAAAAAAGAGAGAAGATTCAAATGAAATCAGAAATGAAAGAGGAGATATTGCAACTGATGCCACAGAAATAAAAAGGATTATTGGAGACTACTATAAACAACTGCATGCCAACAAATTGGGAAACCTAGAAGAAAAGGATAAATTCTTAGAAACATACAACCTACCAAGACTAAATTGTGTAGAAAATCTGAACAGATTTATAACTAGTAATCAGATTGAATAAGTAATGAAAAACCTCCCAACAAAGAAAGGCCCAGGACCAGATGGCTTCACTGGTGAATTCTCCCAAACATTTAAAGAATTAATGCCAATCCTTCTCAAACTCTTCCAAAAAATTAAAGAAGAGAAAACACTCCCGATCTAATTTTATGAGGCTGGCATCACCCTAATACCAAAAGCAGAAAAAGACATTATAAGGAAAGAAGACTACAGGCCAGTATCCCTGATGAATACAGATGCACTAATCCTCAACAGAAAACTAGTAAATTGAATTTAAAATCACATTAAAAGGATCATACACCATGACCAAGTGGGATTTATCCCTGGGACGCAAAGATGGTTACACACATGAAAATGTGATATGCCACATTAAAAGAATGAAGGATAAAAATTACATGATCATCTCAATAGATGCAGAAAAAGCATCTGACAAAATCCAACACCTTTTCATGATAAAAATGCTCAATAAACTAAGAATAGAAGGAATTTACCTCAATATAACAAAGGCCATATAGGAAAGTCCACAGCTAACCTCATACTCAACAATGAAAAAATTAAAGCTTTTCCTCTAAGATCAGGAACAAGGCATGGATGCCCACTCTTGTCACTTCTATTCAACCAAGTACTGGAAGTCCTAGCCAGAGCAATTAGACAAGAAAAAAGAAATAAAAGGCATCTAAACTGGAAAGGAGGACTTAAAATTATCTGTTTGTATATGACATGATCCTATGTGTAGAAAACCCTAAAGACTTCAAAATAAAACCGTTAATAAATAAATTCAGTAAAGTTGCAGGATACAAAAATTTGTAGCATTTCTTTATGCTAACAATGAACTTAAAAGGAAAATCAAGAAAACAATCCCATGTACAATGGCAACAAAAAGAATAAAATTCAGTCAGCATCATTGCAGAGTGATGTTGTTCCCTTTGTCTCTCCCTCCTAAGTTACAACTAAATACACACCAATTAACTAACATAGGATTCCCTACATAACACAACAGGACGCCTGAGAGATCCACACAGCTATACCTATGAAAGTGGGTGGACCGGACCCCTGAGAAGCCGCAGAACTAAGGCAACGCCCCATCTCCTCCAGCATCAGTGAGCCAAGTCATGGATCCTCATACAGTAGCCGGCACAACTGTGAGTGGAGGTGGGGGTAGCCTGGCCTGAATGAAAATGCATTCAGTGTGGCAGCCTGGCTAACAGGTGCACCAGCCTACTGCAGTGGTTCTACCTGTGCGAACCAAGTGACAGCAGCTCAGCCCACACGAAGATGCCCTGCCCATGGAGCACACCAGCCTGGCCGGCCCCACCCACTGAGCACAGCAGCCCTGCAAATTGAGTGTGATCTGCTGAGCAGCTGCAGCCAGACTGCACAAAAGTAGAGAGCCCCTACTGACACAACTACGAGCAGCTGGGGCGTGAACAGAAAACACAGCCCCTGCTTCCACCCCAGTGAAGGGAGGTGGAATCTGCAACCAGATACTACCACGAATGCACTGGCACAGGATCAACTCATCAAACACCATGAAGAACTACAGTAATACTGCATAATAGAAGGCAAATGACAACTCTCTAGAAAAGAAACCTGAAGTCACAGAAGACTACAACCTAAATGACAGAGAATTCAAAATAGCTGTCATAAAGAAACTCAACAAGTTACATGAAAACACAGAAAGACAGTTTAATGAGCTCAGGAATAAAATTAATAAACAGAAGGAATACTTCACCAAAGAGATTGAAGCCCTTAAAAAAAACCAAACAGAAATTCTGGATATGAGAACACAATTAATGAGATTAAAAGAACAATGTAGAAAGCATAAAAAATAGAGTAGACATTATGGAGGAGAGAATTAGTGACCTCAAAGATAGAAACCTAGAAATGCTTTAGGTGGAGGAGGAAAGAGAACTAAGATTTTTAAAAAATGAAGAAATTTTTTCAGAAATATCCAACTCAATTTGGAAAAATAACATAAGGATTATAGATGTTCCAGAGGGAGAAAGGAGCAGAGAGCTTATTCAAAGAAGTAATAGCTGAGAACTTCCCAAACTTGGGGAAGGAACTGGAATTACAAGTAAACGAAGCCAATAGAACTCCTAATTACATCAATGCAAAAAGACCTTCTCCGAGGAATATAACATTAAAATTGTCAAAAGTAAACGACAAAGAAAAAATATTAAGGGCAGCAAGAGAGAAGAAAATAACCTACAAAGGAACCCCCACCAGGCTTTCAGTGGATTTCTCAGCAGAAACCTTAGAGGCTAGGAGAGAATGGAATGATATATTCAAAATATTGAAAGACAAAATCTATCAGCCAAGAACACTCTATGCAGGGAAATTATCCTTCAGATATGACGGAGAAATCAAAGCTTTCTCAGATAAACAAAAGCTGAGGGAGTTCATCACCACTAGACCTGCCTTACAAGAAATGATGAAGGGAGCCCTCCTACCTGAAAAAAAAAAGCAAAGGTTTATAAAGGTTTGATAAGGAGATAAATAGACAAAATCAGAAAATTGCAGCTCCCTATCAGAATACATTAGCAAACAATCATAACATAAAAGATAAAGGGAAAGAAAGCATCAAAAATA